CGTACGCACAAGTATCGCTTCTGGCCACTCCCAGGTGAATGGCAGTCAAAAGTTTTCCACTACTGCGCACGGAACCATCCTTCAAAACTCTGACATCAATAAATCTAAGAACTGGGTTGATGGTGAACTAATTCCAAAAAAATAAAACAGTTAACATGGAGAAACCAGTTGAATTATATGAAAATGCCGAACTCTTGTGAAAGCTTCTATTAAAGAGGGAGCTCACCAAGATATTTGGCAATGCCTTTAGGAAATCGCCAACGGCTCTGATGCTGATTCCAGTTTGTAGTGATATGGATAGCAAAAAGATGGGTAGACAAGGCAGCGACCCACAATAGAGCTACAGCGGCCAAAACTAATAAAAACCGATAAGCGAATTCAGAGAAAGAAATTATGCAGGTTCATTTCAAAATGCCCAAATAATCCAAACCAAAAATAATTTTTGATAAAAATGCATATTTGCAGCCATGCAAAAGTATGCAAAAAAAAATTTAAGAAAAAAATTGACTTACGACAAAGTAATTTAAACTAATTTTTCTACTAGTGCGGATATATAACACCGTGCGACAATCAATTTTACACACGAAAAAATCAATATATTCACAAAACTGGGGGCCAAATATAGTAAAACTGCGTTTTTAGTGTTTCTCTCTGACGTCAGGATTTTTTTTTAAGGACTTTGAAATTTCTAGAACATGATTGAATAAAAAAATTATTCAAAAGATTCGGTGCATTGTAGAATAACAATATGGGTATCAATTAAAAGGAAAAACTTTGTAGAATAGAAAAAAAAATTAATTTTTGTTGCACCATGACGAATAAGTATTGAAAATGTTCTTTTAAAACTTTATCCTTGAATATGCTTGGAAATTTGCAATGTTTATGTTTGACAAAAATATATGTCAAGGACTAATATGTTTACTACCGCATGCTCGAATTTCGTCCTTCTAACTTTATTCGTTTTACATAAAAAAAAAATTTACACTTCTTTTAATATAAATACACTTTTTTTTGTATATAAATGGATATTTTTGGACTTAAGAAAGTATAAGTTTTCTGGTATCCTTTA